TTTTATCCATAGCAAATTCAGCAGACTTAACTCGCTCTACCATTATTAAACAAATTTCTTTGTTACATTCTGAATCCTCATAAACTTGGTATATTTTTTGAAATAAAACTGTAATCGAATTGATTACTGGAATGTAGCAGCTCATAACTTCGGTAGTAGTTTTAAAAGTAGACATTGCCACATCTTTAAAGCTTGGATATAAATCTGATTCTTTTTCGCCTTTAAGGCATGGATTTACGTCTGGTACTGTAGATTCTTTTTCATCTTTGACAGAATTTTCTTCTGACATTATAAATGGGTCAAAATTGATATATCGATGAATCAAATAAAATAAAAATATATTAATTTCATAACCAAAAAATTTAAATATTCTCTTTCATGAACATGCGTGAGTACGTATGTTTAAAATTTGAATTGTCTAATGATAAACAGTTACGAATTCCTGTTAAATTATTAAATGTTTCACAAGTTGACAAATGGATTTTGTACTTTTGCTTTGTTCTTTTTAAAGAAAAGTGTAACTTCAAAACCAACCTCAAACCTCTATTTTGTCATAATTGCTAAAAAAAAAGAAAATTTTTTTTTTAATAAGCTTGAATTGAAACCAAGATACAATTAATAACTTTTTTATCATAGATAATGTTCTGCTTCGTTTCTCAATTTATACCGATTATTATCAAAGTGGTTCATTTGTAAATTTAAAAATTAATTACTTTATTTTTCGATTGGTGAAGATTCATCTATACAGTAATAAAATTTATACATACATAAAATTATGATTTTTTTAATTACGTATCAATTTTTACATTCATATTAAAAATGTTTATCGATTTTTACATTCATATTAATTGTTTATCGATTTTTACATTTATCGTCGTAACATAATAAATTGGGTCTTCAACAAGAATAAGCTTTGGTACTGCAGTTTGTTTTTTGACAGTAACAACAAATTGCATGACTATTTTGAATTGATTTCTTTGAAATGGATTCTTTTCAAGTAGAAAAAACAGTTTTTTTTTTTTTCAAAAACTATCAAATCGATAATTAAGTTTTATTATAAAATTAATTTTATTCATATAATAAAAATTCAGATCAAAATAATAATAATAATAAACATACAAGCTACAAGCTTTAACCCAATACTCCAATCGCTTCGATCCGTTTCCTCCATCCAGGCAATTGGAGTACATGTGATTTTTTGGGCTGACCATGAAATAATACGTGACCAGAGTTTTAGTGTTTGCTGAATAACCTTTTCAACAAATTTATCTCCATTATC